AGAAATAAAGTAAAGACCTCTATTCTTATGATTAAAACAGAGTTTTTGACAGATACTACGGCAGAACTGTCACCGATGGCGCAAAAACTGTTTGCCTCTATTGTACTATGTACGATTGTGCCTTCGATAAAGAAACTGAGCACTAGTTTCGGAAAGGATCTTGCTCTACTGAAGTTACGCACATGATAAAGAAATTCACTAGCATTCTGTGTAGTCTCTGTTGAATGCTTACTTTTGTGGAAATAGTTACTAGGACTATAATCTACAAGTCCAGATGAATCTGTCAATATGAAAAATGGAACGGATTAGACATCTACTTAAAAGTAAACCCCTCCTTTTTTTTTAGTCGAAAATTCAATTTTTGGTTTTCGACTGCTTTATATATTTTGAAGTGTCCTCTTCTGCAATAGTGCTAGAGTCTGAAACAGCCAAAAAAATACAAACAAAACAGTTTTCTATAAAATCTACAGAAATCGTCTTTGAGGTTACTTCAATTTTCTTTTTCTTGGTGTATTCTCTTCAGGTTATCACCCATGACTTATCCATTGAGTATGCGTAGAGACATGTGCCACATACGTAGTAGCACATGGAAGCATATGTGACTTTCTTTTTTTGTATAATAATATTATTACAAAATTAGTCCTGCTTATGATATCGCCAATAATTTATTATACGTTCTAATTGCTAGTTTCGAATCATTTGCGTTGGACAAAGTAGAATAGAAACCGTATACCTTTGTGCTTGTTATGATATGGCTGAGCGTATGCTACACATGCTTTTCGGATAGAAAATGGCTGATAACTTATAGATACACTGCACAGACAGTTACACTATACATCTTTAAGGAAAAAACAACATTGTTTTGTATTTTTCTCAACATATGTTTTTCTAGTGAGAAAATGGCTTGTTCAAGCTGAAATTTTTACTACAGATGCTTCAGACCCTATCTTAGGTTGTGAATTTCTTTTAAGAGTTTCTAATTCCAGCTTTCGACTTGGAAAGATCGTTAAAATAAAAAGCCGAGTTTTTAGACAGGATTTTGAATATCTCGAGAAATAGGAACTTTTTGAAAAAAATTTATAACCTAAGAAAGGGTCTGAGGTGTCTGTGGTCAGAATTTCAGCTCAATCGGGCCATTTTTTCTAGGAATCGTAGCCGGACTGATGGAAGACCTTAACAAAAAGTTCTGAGCAAAAATGCAACGTGCGTTCTTTTGTTTGTCTTCATCTTGACATAATTAATTATTTGTACTTGACGATAAAATAGATAATGATAGAGCGAACAGTTGTTAAATATTAGATGAGTGTAAGAATCCGATTTTAAATAAAATGCAATAAGTCTTTTAGAGATGAAAAGGAAAAGATGAACCAACACTTTTTTGCAAAATATTTTTTCTGTTTATTGTTCTAAATATTTAAAAAAGGTACTAGAATATTAAATATATACAAGTATAGTTTATTCTTGGGCTTTGACTGAATTCTGATCATCTGAGCGAAACTTTATCTTGTCCTAATGTATCACTCATAAAGACGACACATTTACTCTTTTGTTTTATACGATCAAATATATAGTTGTATCTCTCGATAAACAGTGTACTTATGCAAACTAACTGGATGCTCGCTTACTGCAACTGCATTTCTTGATGCAACAGCTAATTATATTCTTCTTGTTGGAGAAAGTAAAAGCTACAATAGGATTGGGACATGAGATATTTTGTCATAATGAACTACATACCAGGCCTGCAATGTTTGGAATATAACAGTTATTTTATATACATCCTTCTACTTTTATTACTTAATTCAAACTCACAAGATTATTCTCCTCCACTTTTATTTCATACTTGCAGATAACATCCTATCTGGACAAGACGAGAAAAGTGAAAAGAAAATAATATGAGTCATTTATAACTTAGAAATCTTTAACCAAAACGCCAAACATTGAATATTATACACAAAGAAATATGTTGATAAAACATTTATAAACCTATAACAGAAAGGATATTTTTAAAAGATTAGAGTACCCACTAACATCGCAAAAAGTATGCCTGGTTGATCTACATGACTCACTGGTGCGGTTTTTGATCGAAGAAAAAATTTTCTTCCAACTATCTTTGCTGGCGTATAAAATGCAAAAAACAAACGTAACGCCGTGACATACTTTTTTGGCACACCATTTTTAGGCAGTAAACGTCGTTCAAAAAACTTCATACTTATAGTCTGTGTAGTTCTAGGTTTTCTGAGAAGACTCTAGTTGATAATAAAGTTCAAAAAATTCTCTGAGGCTTTCAGACTAAGGCGGAAGTTGAAACGTTCAAGCAGCCACTGTGTCTCGACTGAAAAATAGATCTCAAAACAAAATAAACCATTTTGTAAAGAATTGAATTCTCTATTCAAGGGTATGTTTTTAAAATTTTTTCAACAAAATGTCTAAGTCAGAAAATTGAAATTAAAGTTTCTAAAAATTTTAAATTAAAATGTTTTTATATTGAAAATTAATTTTTTCTTCAAAACAAAAGTCAGATTCGTGATCAGCATGAAAAGCTGCGTCTAGTGATGTGCCCCTATCGATTTTTGATGAAAAAAATTCAAAAAAACTTGATCAGGGAAGTTTCGCATTACGTGGACAGAGGCCGCCAGGGCGTTTTTTTTTACAAAATTAATGGTTTTCTCATGTGGTTTCTCATGGTTACCCCTTGAAACTTTTTCTAGTTTCAAAGTCAAGATAGATAGACATATTATATACTATTAAAGAGTCCATGAACTTCTCTATAAAATCGCTATTTGTATTTTTACAAAATTAATCACTATAACAACTGAAACAAACTAAAACTTTATCGATTTATCCATACATACGTTATTCGAGCTATTATACAATATTCTTCTTCACTAACGCTTAGTTAACTCAAGCATGGCTTCAATAAATCTGATGATTAGTACATTAAAAACCAAAACAAAATTTTGATTCATGGAGTAAATGAAGGAGAAAAAGTTTGTTGAGTCTACTATAAAAGTTTCATAAAAGTTGGCCTCTTACTAATTGAGTTATATCTGTTCCATTTGCAGAAGGATGTAATTTAGAAGTCTAAATTGAATAAAAAAAATGTAATAAATAACTTTTGTAAAAATGCAAAGTAACGATTTTGTAGAGAAGTTCATGGACTCTCGAATGGTATATAATATGTCTAAATATCTTGACTTTGAAACTAGAAAAAAGTTCTTTTACTATACCCATGGGGAAATTTTGTCGAACTTTCATAACGTTGGGATCGTGCAGTTGCAACATCAAGCACGCGGTCAACTGTGAACTTTCTATAATTTCACACACGTTCACAAGCAAGAATTTCTTTTCACATGTGTTCGCGCACCATTTTGCGATGTTTACGTGCGATCTGAAAGCTATGATAGCTTTTATTTTAAGTTTTCTTTAAGACTGATTTCGAGCTTTCAAAAACTTGATTTTTATTTTCAAGAACATTTGCAGACAGCTGAAATAATAGAATTGACATAAAAGATATCTTCATAAAATATATTCCTGAACAATTGAAACAGAATTAGTCAGTCGCTTGCCATCGAATGAATGATCATTTATTTATAGTATTTCAAGTTTTCGGGAAAAATATATCTTTTATCTCAATTGTATTATTTCAGCTGTTCTTGAAAATGAAAGTTAAGTTTTCGAAAGCTCGAAATCAGTCTTAAAAAAAATTTACTATGAAAACTATCGTAGCTGTTGTAAAACTCATCACATTTATCTTCAAATGTTTGTTCATCAAAAGAACCAATAATACTTACTAAGGTAAACACGTTTGATTAATAATTTGACACGACAGGGATGACATACTGATTTAGCACACGTCAACCGCATTTAGTAATGATCTATAGCGAAATTTAAATAGAATTTTTTTAATATTAATGTTGTTTTGGAATACGTTACGCCATTGTACTAGATGAGTTTCTGGCCATGCCCAAAGATGTGCACGAAATAACACACTCTTATTTATGTTTCTAACAAACCGACGAGATATAGAATAGTAACCATAGACAATTCAAAATATGTTTAATGAAAATATTGTTAAATTTTATTGTATAATAATATTAGGTGTTATGTGGTTATTTGTTCAGTAATATTTTTATAAGGATTTGAAATAAGATTATACGAAAACTATTCATATGTTTATTTATTGCTTTTGATGATTGATGATGTGATATATGAACTTTCAAATAGAATTGTATGCCGAACTTAGGTTCACAAATGTACTTAACAGTATAAGCAACTGTTCTGGTCATTCAACTTTTGAATCCCAGAATATTGTTTTCATATAATCTTATTTCAAATTCTTATTAAAATATTGCTGAACAAATAACCGCAGAACACCTAATAGTATTATACAATAAAATTTAACAATATTTTCATTAAATGAACTGTTTCTGGTTACTATTCTATTTTCCGTCTGTTCGTTAGAAACATAAATAAGAGTGTGTTATTTCGTGCGCAATCTACACATGCGTAAGATTCCTGATACGCGATAGTTTCTCTGTCTATTTTGTGAAAACTTCCAAAGATTAGGAAAAATACTGCTGTTTCTCTCCTTCTTTTTCGCCATTCAAATAAGATAAACGTCATCGGAAGCGAATTTTAATGACTTTTTTGTTTGGTAGCACCATTTTTATAAACAAAATATTTTCAAAATATAGATGATATATTGACTGCGCGATTCACTCACATCACCAATTGTTGAATATGAGAAAATGAATTGAATCTGTAGGAGAAACGAAAAGATTGTAAAGATAAAAGAGAATAAAAAGTGATTCCACTCATACTGATCCAGATGAGTTTAAGAGAAAGAGAAAACCAAAATGGTTGCATTTTCATTTTTCTTACAAACGATTAACAATCTATGTGAAAATATTGTTCATTATTGATTTGAGAACTAAAGTGTTTATTTCGAAGTTAAAAAACCCCATAGATTGTTTCTTTGACGTGTATTATTTTCAAAAGTATTAGAAAAAATAAAAGGTTTCACTAGCTGATTCCTCGGCTTTTCTAACAGGATAATAGTAAATAACGATATAATCTTTCTGTGAGATATCATTACGAACTAAACCAAAACCAACTTCTTTACAATCCTGATTTAGTATCGGAGCATATCGTTTCTAAAAAAAAGAGAATATCCACTCTCAGTTGTCCAATAATAAACAGATTATGAGTGTTACCTTTGGTGGATTTCCATTTTTCAAATCATTGACCAATTGTCGATAAATTAATTTCCCTACAGAACTACCATCATTTACTGGAGACCGACAACTTATCACCGTCTCGCCTATCTGAGAGAGTCAAGAAACACTACGACGTCGATTCAAAGTAAGAACATTTTTTACAAATACTAGAATCATTCTCATCTAATATTAGTTGTTTCCGAACGCTTTAATCCTTTTTTTAGAACAGTGCAATCTCAGTCACTTACCGGTTGGTCTTTGTAGATCAGATCACTTCTACTAGTGCTTTCCACTTTATCTCTCTTCGATAAGTAATTGGCTCTCTCAATTGCACGTTTTGATAAATCTGATGAAAATGTCAGTTGCGGTAGACTTAAATGAGCTCGATATTTATTGATTGCATCCAAATATTCGTCAGATATGCGTCCAATACTAATAATAGGAGTCAAAACTTGTTGAGCTAAAGTTACACTTTCACTATTTTCACCACCCATACCTTAAACAGTTGCCCTAGTCAACTTTCACACTGAACTCGGGACGTGGCCGTGCTGCTCACTATGGACTTGTGCTCTCACATCGCGATCGCGTTGGAATCTTATTTTTTCCAAAAAATATTAGTCATGACTCACGATAAAAGTTTTTGGCGTGACACGATCCTGGAGAAGTCTTAGATTTCCCGAAGTGCGAGCTAGGATCATGGTACGATTCTAAGAGTTTGCCTAGGATTCTATGGGATTGCGCCACGATGCCAAAAGTTCTGATAAGATCTGCCGCGACATCGCAACAAAATTACGATCGCGAAGATCAAGTCTTATCTCGCGACTCTTATCGCGATTGCGAGATGCGATCTTGGCACGGCTTTTTGACGTGAATCTCACCATGAGTTCAGCGTGAAAGTCGACATGAGTAGCTAAATTCAACTTATCTAAGAAAAAACTGAAATAGAATATTGTGTCTAAAGTTAAATAATTACATTAAAAAAATTTTCACTTAGAAGATCTAGAATAACATAATTAAGAAGAAAAATACGATAGTCTCAACAAATGGTCATTTAACCATGTTGGACCATCGATATTGAGTTTTGTATACTAGTACAATAGTATAGCACTATGTTTTATCGTAGTTGTCTTTGATTTTTTCAACATACATTTCGTTCCCTATCACACAAAGCCTACCTTTGGAATCTCCAAATATCGGATTGGACACAACTGGATCTATAAATCGTTGGCTAATATTTTCTTTTCTATTTGAATGAAGCACAGGCGAGTCACCATAAACAACGTTTCGAGTCTCACCTTTCTGATAAGCCCTGTTTTTTTTATCACTTTCCATTGGTCTACTTCCTTTTCGTCTACCACAACATCGTCTACAAAGTGATTGACAATTTTCTGATGTGAAATTTCGATTGACATTGTTCATAACGCATCACAAGTTTCGGGTTACAATCTTCAGTCAGGGAAATGCATACAAAATAATTTCTCTCGCTAACGGAATTTGATTGTTCTGACATTTATTTTATCATGACCATTATAATTTACGGAAAATAAAACTGATTTGATAAAAGAAATTGAAAACGAAATTTTTGTGTTGTTTTGTTCCTATCCAATTTTTGTCTAGGCGCCAACAACGCTCAATGTTTCAAAATATTCAAATTGAAAAACTGAATTATGCGCGATAAATTAGAGTAGATAAGAGACCTACGGTGAGTTTTCTCAAATGATTTTATGCCGGTTACAAGAAATCATTTTTCTGTCATGACCATAACGAACGGATGACTGTTTTTTTCTGTTTCTAAGACACTAAAATACAGTTTGAAAAGTTCGTCTAGGCCCAAAAAATTGAGAGTCTTATGGTCTATAAAATTCAGAGTATGTGTTTTTTGTTCACACCACTTTCTTTGGTTAGTTTTTCGCCGCCACATGAAAGAATTATGATTATCCTCTACACCAAAACTTTCACTTTTAAACTTGTTCACGAGCAAGTAAATACTGATATCCTGCTCTGTTCTTAAAAAATGTGGACCTGGATAGAACCAAGTCAATCTTTCTTTAATAGCCGTTACTAGAAATGGAACTGAGAGATTGTCGTAGTACTACGATGGTGTGTTCTTCAGAAAAAACTTTAAAAAAATCAATCGGATTCCCTTATTTTTCAAATACCATCAATCAGAAAAAGGATATTAATGATGATTAATGATTTTTACGATATTTAGTTTTTCAGGATGGCTGACAGTCACCACTAAGACTGTCACTCTGTGACTCCGGTCAAAGTTTGTATATTTTGATGAGGGAAAAAAAGTGGAAAATTTTTCAACTTCGGCGTTCCTATTAAGTATTCAACCCACCCACTAAAATAACAAATAAAAGAAATCTCTTTTGTTAAAGCGAGCGGTAGTCAATTAAAAAAGTTCGGTATTAGCGGTAGCGTTGACCATTTTTCAGTTTTACAAAAAAATAGACAATTCGGGTTTTGCCCCTCTTCTTTCTGTCTCAAAGCTGAGTCACTTCACAGACTTTACAACTGTGTACTTTTTACGCTCTGTCGAATGACTAACTTGAATTTTTCCGTTTCCTAGACGGGATTTTGACTAAAAATGGCATTTTGTGGCTCGTGTTTTATCAAGTCTTGCACAATTTTCTTTGAAAAGAAATATAGATTTGTGTGACATTTAATATGAACCACACAATGTACATAGTGTCATGTTATTAGTTTAAAGTTATATATAGATGAGTGAACCTATGTGAAACACTGTTTTTTTTGTTTTCGACAGTTTGAGCTGAAGGATTCTATAATGAATTTTTTAAAGTTTAAATAAATTTTAATTAAATAAAGATGAAGATTAACATAAGTAATATTCTATTAATCACCAGCCAAGTTTTTGTATCTTTCTCTTTTTAACAGTAAAACATTTTTCTAGCACAATTTGCATAATTATGGATTTTCACTTGACACATAAACGACAGAATTGAGGTTATACCAGCTATAACGTCAGTTTTCTAATATTGAGTCAAAAGATGTTTAAATGAGAGCGAAGTTCTATACTCATCATTAATACTATAATTTTCATATAAAATGTGCTTAATTTTTTCATATGAAATGTATGTATTAAAGAAAAGAGGAAAAAAACGATTAATCATACAGTGTGTGTGTATGTGTGTGATGCGTAGTCAATTTAATCGTTAATTGGATTTATCATGTTGTTCAATGCTCAATTTACGTTTCTAATAAATATAGTCTCTTTATATAATTATTGTCTATGATTAAACATGAGAATAAGAAAAAGAAGAGGAAAAAAATGAAATTCTCTCAAGACTATTTTCCATTAACAAAACTAACTCTGGAAACTCAATCCTTTAAATCACTAACTTGGGAATATATAACTGAATGTAAAATCAAGTTTATTTAATAGAAAGAGAACAACGATTTTTAAAAATAATCGTATGGAACAGTTTCTTTCTGATTCATCTTCAAAGCAGCATAAAAACACATTTATTTACATTTTATCTATCATTATCGTCTAAAATTGAAGACAAACGCGAATACGACCACAAGTAAGAAACACTAAGTTTAATATTTTAATTGTTTCTATAAATCAGATATAAAAATCGTAGGTATTTTGTAATATTTTACTCCACAAATATTCAATAGAAAAAAGATGATGAACTCAGATATTTTACTAAGAACAGCAAAAGTTTATACATTATTTATTATTCATTTTTTTAGAATATGTCAAGTGATGAGAGTGTAGAGATGATGCCATGGTCATCTGTTTCTCGTGATTATCGTCATTTTTCTTCACTACCAACATCGAATCGTCGTCGTTTAATTCTACCTGCTGATGGTAAAAAGAATAACTCTCATGAACAACGTACATTACGTTTATCAATAAATGCTCGTGAAAGACGACGAATGCACGATTTAAATGATGCACTTGATGAACTTAGATCAGTGATACCTTATGCACATAGTCCATCTGTAAGAAAATTAAGTAAAATAGCAACACTATTTTTAGGTAAGAAAATATGAAAAACAACTAGAATAACTCTTATTTGAACTATGTCTTTAGCTAAAAATTACATATTATTACAAGCAAACGCCATCGATGAACTAAAGAAATATATTCTTTTATTAAATCAACGATCACACTTATTCGGACCATTGAATTTACCACCACCATCGCTGCCACCTCAACCACTACCATCGTCTTCAACTCCAAAACCGTCAAACGAAACAGCAACATCATTCTATGATCTTAATCAACTTACAGCTGCAAATCCGTTTATGTTTAAACTAAATAATCTACACAAAAACAAAAACTTTGAATCCTTATTACACAAAGACAAAAAGAAGTAAATATCTGCTTTATTCCGCTATAAAGTAGAAAATATCGATATTGCTTATAAGACACTAAATGTTCATAAAACGTCTCCCATCCTTCTTTTAGTTACTAATCCATCAATTACTGTAAAAAAAAAAGAAAAAATATTCTATCTTACGTTTAAGATACCAGTGATGGCTAAGTTTTACTCGTTTCTAACGAGAAAGATGATATGTTTGTGACCTATCTAGGGTTGTCACCTAGCGAGATCTAAAAAGCGGAAAAAACGTTTTTTTGTCTCTTTACTTAACTTTTATAAATAATAACCTTCTTTTTTGGGGATGAGTTCATGTTTCGGTAAATTTTACTGATGAAAAAACGGAAAAAATGTCAGAAAATGGACTGGGTGGCAATCCTGTACGTCACACATACAACCGAGACCATACTTATTTAGTACTATAATACTAATTTATAGATTTTATAATTGTAAATAACTTAATAAATTTATTTGTTTGTGTTTATTTCGTTCAGTGATATCAATCAGTGAAAATTCATGTAAGCAAGAACTGATATATTTCTTACATCGATAGACTTCCTGCACGCAACAGTGAGGCATTTTCCCCTTCGTGATGGAAAAGTTAAAGTCGCATATTCAAACAAAGTATTATCCTGGTATAAACTCTTGTATTATTTACCTAGGGCAATCGACTATAAGTAATATCAGATGGAATAGAAATGTTCTGGTTATATGTGCTTACATTTTTCAAAAATACGTTAATAAACATCATGAACCATTACGGCATAAATCTGTCGAACATGGGGATAAACTATGAATTTAACAGCAAATATGTCATCAACAAGTTAATCAACAACTGTCGACGATGAGGAAAGCAATTTAATATAGTATCAGTCATGTCGTTGCTTTCAACAACAAAACTAACTACAAAACACATTTCGGAGCAATCTGATTATCTAAATTAGAATGAGAATATACACCAATATTAGAAACGTTCATATCAGTCATGTTTGATATGACATCGTTGATATATTTCGATACCACTGACTCTTCTTTTCAATCTCACGGGAAAAATTCGAGACCATGCTCGTGTGTTCATCTTCAATGCCTTATATCGTTTTCTCTTACTATAATTGCCTTGGTTAAGAGAAGGAAAAGACGTGAGTACGGTTAAGAAGTTATCTCCCTCTCGCAAGGCCCCTTGCTGGAACAGTGTATCATCTAATAGGAACGGCGATCGATTAAGGAGGTGCACATATACTTGAGAAAACAGCCAACTTATACCTGACCTAGTTGTCATTGAGGGGTGGCTTGTCTCTCTTACTATACTACAAAAAAAGATAAAAAGTTCAAAACATATTGATAAAATGATAAAATCTGACGATAAAAGCTTATTAGCTTAGCTCTTCTGGGCTAAAAGTGAAAATTTCAGACGAGATAAATGCGGAATGCATCAAAACTATTATCGCTAATAGTTATGTAAAGTAGTAGGAAACCGATTGAACACGATTTAAGAGGAAGTTCTGCACTCGAGGAGAGGTGAGGCGGCAAACAATCTGAAGTTTAAAAACATTATTTTTAGTAGAGAAAACTGCTTTTAAACTTCAGAGCTCACTTCCTGTCATTTGGAAGAGAGTGAGAAAGTTGTCAGTTGTTAATATAAAGTATAATGATTATGTAATAGTTATTTAGGTAATTAACGTTCAATTATTTTAAAAAATATAATGGACTAAAAATTATTGCAAGTTAGTATTATTATATTATATGGAAGAAATTAATCTTCATAACGTTATCGCAAAAACGGTTATGCGCTCTCTCTCGTTCAACTGCTTTAGCATATATTCTGACAGAATAAAGCTTATATCAAAAACAGAACACAAAAGATCTACCAAAAATATTACTACTGATAACATCAAGTCGATTGCACAACTTCAATCGTTGTACAGAATATAGACATAGAACAATGGATTTAATTTTGCAGTCTACTGAAAAGCTAAGTTAATATGTTCGAATCTCTATTCGTACAAAATTGATTTTGTGTTTTTCGATTGTTTTCGTTCAGAATACTATAATGGAACATTTTTCCGCTTGTATTCTGACAGAATAAAACTTATATTAACTGTTTTCATAGATAAGCAAACGACGGTAGTTTTGTTGTCCGATAGACCAGTATTGATGCTCTCTATTGGTTATCACTTTGAAAATTTAGCTTTTTCAAACAAACATATCATGATAGACGAGATAAAAGATGATGAAAATTAAAATTAATTATTAAATAAATTTCGTGTTGTGAACTGATTAGCGATTCGGATAGTTTGATTTGTACTATTTGTGTCAAAATATATAAATGTGAATGTCTATTGAAGAACTTTTGGACAGTGAAAGATGAAATGGGCAGGCTAGAGAATCTTTTTCTACACGTTGATAAAATTAGAAGTACGGTTAATTTTAAAAAACGCTTTACACAATTTTTGGAAAACTTGGGGAGTATTGATAGATTTGAATTATGAACTTTTCAGTTTTGTATGAAAATCACCTAAAATAACTTATTTCATCTAATGTAGAATTCTTCGATACTTTGAGCTATCTATCCATGTGAGCAAACAAATATATTGCTGTTTCAAAGTTTGGAAAGGGCCAGACCGCATAAGACTTGAAATCGGTCCACCAATTTTTATTGCTCCAATCTGTCTAAAACTCATCAGAATCATCATATCCGATGATTTCGACTCTTTTGAGCGCTTTCAACCGAATATATCCAGTAGAATCTACTCGAAAACAAACAGCTCTTAGTACCATCAGTACGACGGTAAAATCGAGATTTCTCTGTAACTATCAAATATTTAGTCTAGTGTAATACATCATTCGATGCGCCTTGAAAAGCTCTAAAATATGTGTTGATAGGAAACTTAATGAAGCCTAGCAATAGGTGTTATAAATTAAGTACTAAATTTATCCATAGGTCGCAGCTGTGCTACTGTAACTGTTGATCACTTTTTTCTATAAAACTAAAGAGGATCATTCATATATCATTCTTACATCATCCGATGCGTCCTGAAAACCTCTAAAATATGTGTTAATAGGAAACGTAACGAAGTCTGACAGTAGCCTTTGTGAATTAAATATTTCACCGCTTAAATCTAAAAGAATGTGTACATCATTTTCTGCTTTAATAACTTCTGTGGAAGATATCGTTTGTTCTTATCAAACCTTTGAGCAGCTGACATCAATACGCAGCTGATTTTAATTTCACATTTGTTTGTATATGTTGTAGTCAAACTTAGAATTCGAGCAGATTCTGAATTTGATCAGCCAGAGTTAGGATTCTGCCAAACTTAGAATTGAGATGCCTACACGTGGAAAATTCCGAATTTCTCCGACCAAAAGCAGAATTCTAACTCTGACAGGCCAAAATTTTAATTTTAATTTTTGACAAATCAGAATCCAAATTTGTAATTATTATTATCCGATAATATTATATTAATTATTAATTCAACATAGTTTTCTTTTATATTTACTTCTTAATACTTTAGTTCTATTATATGCCCATTATTTGTTGAAAATACTCTTTTTTTTTCGCAAGTTTCACATATGTGGTAGATTATAGGATTCTGAATAACTTTGTCATTTAGTATAGCATCGAAATTGGGTTCTGTGAAGATTTTTTCCTATCTATGCGTGTGATTCACACGGGATTATCATAATTACCCCGTGAAAAATAGCTGTGTTATCATAATTACCCCAAAGAAGACAACTGAAAAAAATGACTGTCTTTTACTTTCCGTAATTTCTAATTAACTAATTTAGATTAAGTCCAAATGACTGACAATTTATATGGGAGATAGAGCAGAAAATTCCCTACAAGATGGTGTACCTTTTAGTCAGTTTACTCCAAGTTTCCTGTTGAAACTAAATGGTTTAAGTTCATTCCAGCTATTTTGGCTGTAGTTATCATAATTACCTCAAATGGGGGAATTATGATAATTCTAAACCTGTTCACTGGAAATTGATTAGAACTAATTAATGTTAACGAATTTTAGGAAAATTTTTACATCAGTAGATAGCTAAGAGTCAGCTCTATCTACCTGCATAATACTGATTTTCTCCGGTAAAAGATTACTTAATTATGCTCAAAATATCTGAAAAGTTTTAGGCGATTATCAGAATTACCCCATGTGACTCGATAAAATTTACATATAGTTGAATCAGGAAAAGAGTAATGACGTCAGTAGTACAGGACAGAACATGACACAAGAAGGATAGAAAAGAACATGACGGACATACGACATCAGGAAGGACAAAGAATAGTCACATTTCTAAACATATGATAACATGTGTTTCTTTATGTTCATAACAATTTACACATTAGTCGTACGGAAAAACTTACAATGATACAAAAATACATTACGAGTATCTGGATAAACGAACTAATTATACCAAGTACTTTTTAAAGTGTATGATTTTGTGACAGCGGTTAATGTTCTTTCAGAACACATTATACAGAAACGCTTCTATATAGTGGAGAATATTCACACATGAATGAAATGAAAATTGTTATATATAAAAAAGAAAAGTTATCACAACTATAAATTGCCTGATGATGATCGTAGACGAAGGTCGAAAGGCTTGCAGATTTATACAGTTTGCTTTATTCAGGAGGATTTAGTGAAAAATGTGTTTTCTTGACAAATTCATCGGATAAACTTTCCTTAGTTCAGATTTGAAAAAGAGGTCGAAGTGATTAAATGAAATGTTAAAAACGTGTTCATGCTCTTAAAAAGTCTCAATGAAATAGCTACTTATTGAGGTAAACAACGTCCTAACAGCTCGTCTCTACGCGAGTTAATGATGTTGCCATTCACCTAAAAAGATTAGGCACAACGAGTCTCACTGGAATCTAATATGGTGATCATTCACAGGCTTCGTAAGCATCCTACGTTTTACAAAAAACGCCCTACTTTCGAGATTTTATCCTACAACTTCTACTTTTTCTGATAGTCTAACAAGTAAATAATATAATGATATTCAATAGGGAGATTTTTAATGGATAAACGAGAAGTATTTTAATGTTATTGTTTTGTTTTTGTACTAGTTTTGTTGAAAAACAAAAAAAATCAAGCACGCATACACAAAGAGTGAAGGAAAAGAACGGAATCGTATAATTATGTATATTGAACTATTCGGTTTTTGCGTGCCAAAATGCTTCCAAAAGTAATTCAATGCAAGTAACATATGACATTCGTTTACGTTCGATCGCTTTCTTAGTTATTAGTTTAGGATACTATCTTGTTTGTATTAGATCCAGTGAAAGATTGTAGGTGTACATTACAAGATAATTCAGCCTGTATATTTAGCTCAAACATTTTCGATATATCATTATTCTATTATACCTTATGCTAACGCTCGCTTGATCTTCTACAAGGACTTTAACATGTATTAAAAAACACTTGTTGGTTAATCTGACACAGCAAACATTTGAGCTAAGTATACAGGCTGCATCATCCTGTAATGTACACAATCTTTCAGTGGACCTACTACAAACAAGATCCTAAACTAATAACTAAGAAAGATCGAACGTAAACGAACGTCATATGTTACTTGCATTGAATTACTTTGGGAACCATTTGGCACACGAAAACGGAATAGTCTAACATGCATAATTATACGACTCCGTTCTTTAAACCACACCTGTACGAAAAAAAAGTAGGAAAAAAGAGGGGATAAGAATTAAGGAGAACGTGCAACGATCTATAGTATATTTGAATCAAAATTAACAAGGAGAATAATACACTTGTGGTAATTTGAGCAAAAAACAACAAAAATAATCTAAAACACAATCTACCACCACACACCCAAAAGAAGCAGAAAAATTATGCTTTTAAAAAATTAATAAATTAATTAATTAAAATTATGCTATTGGTTTAAAAATATAAATAAATAAACTTGAAATGGACAGAATGATTCTTGAAACATATCTGTCGTGCATAGGAAATAATATACGCTTTCATTCATATGCATAAACGCTAAATTTAAAAAATAATTATGGATAACAACGAATGAGTAAAATTTTTGAGGTACAAATGTTATTTATCCCATGAAAAGCATAAAATGTTCTTAGTACGGAAGCAGAAGTATGTGCTTAAACAAAACGGATCAGTAATATCTTTTTAAACGTTCTATAGAACGAATCAATTAGGAACAAAAAACCAATCTACTGTTTATGATTTACTTTGTTCGATATAATATGTTCCGAACTTTAGTATCTTGTACGAATGGAATACAGACTTACTAGTCCCAATTATCGATATTTACGGTAATTGATTTTAGAAATGAAAACTTGATATTTGAATATTTTCAGTGTATAATAAAAAAAGTCACAAATTTGTGTTTTTGGAAGTGCGTTTTATTTTTAATCACGATTGTATTGTGTTTGTGATTTTGTATTCAAACATATCATTATATGCGCTTGAACTACAAATCATCATACTTTTATGAGTTCAGTTTACGTATGCGATTTCCTGGTTTATATATTTTCTTCTCTTTTTCTCCAACAAAAAAAAACTCTTTTTGTTTGATGCTTCAGAATAATACAAAAAAAACAGATAAAGACTGAGAGAAAGGAAGAACAAAACGAGTAGCAATATGAAAACAAAAATGTAATTTATGTGTGTTGTGGTAATTTTGCTTCTTTTTCCAAAATGCACACGAAAAACAAAACCATCTGAAAGACACGATGAACGAAAACAAAAACAAACAAGCAAAAGGTGTATGTGTATGTGAATAACAAACGAAGAAAAACGAAAAAAAAACATTGTAAAAAACCAGAGAGAGATAGAGAGCAACAATAACAGCAAACAAAAGTAAAACAAACACATTGCGAGGAACGAATGGATAAAAAAGACACTGCTAGATTTTTGTTGCCAGAATAAACTGTTCGCATCTTGATTAAGAAAATAGTCTTAGTGAGTATTCTTAGGTTTGTCTAACCACACTTATAGAAGGGAACGTGTAAAATCTGCCTATGTATTATCAAGGGAATCAGGCCCAAAAAACAAAATTTTATATCCAATGGAACTAGACAGCTTAGCTGTGTTTAAACAAAGAAAATTTGATACTCTGTGGGAGAAAAAAAAACGTATCAAATTTAACACGCAGGCAAATTCTACATCTTTGAATACATCCTAGACTTTAGCTGATAGAGAAAGAGATCATATATCTACATTTTGAACGATAAATACATCGTGTTTATATTTCAAAAAAAATACTTCTGTTTATTTGTTCGTTGTTATTGTTGCTACTCGTTCGTACGTGTGTAGAGATATTTGCTTCGATATATTTGCTTAAAGTGGTCCGCTATCGTCATCAACTTTCGCTATTTTCGATATTGTTGATCGTTATAAGTGTCTGATAAATTTTCATCATTTTGTTGTCCTACTGAATTTGGTCCTCCTGTTCCATTTTTCAAATTTCCACCACTCACTCTTGTTGAATTTATATTTGTATTGTTATTTCGTCCTAATGTACCGGTACCCGTGGCTGATCCACGAAATGATGGTCGATTTCGTCCAATACGTGTACCAGCAAATTGATTTGTTGATTTTTTTTGTGTTTTCTCTTCAACATTTAAACGATAACCATTACATGTGACATGTTGTTGTTCCAAAACTTTCTGAGCCGGTTTTGAATCTTCAAAGACGACAAAACCAAAATTCTAAAAATAAAAATATTGAAAACATAAATTGAGTTGTACATGCCAAAACAAGGACATACTTTTTTGTCAGCATTTTGTGGTGAAAATATTCTAACGTCAACAACTGGCCCATATCCACTAAAAAAGTCTCTTAGAATATCGGCTGTAAAATCGCCTGGTAATGAACCGACAAAAACTTGATTTTCGTTAGGGGTTAATGTTCGTCGATTTCCTCCGCCACCACCACCTCGTCTATCCGGACTGTCATCTTGTCCATCACCTGACCATCGACCAATTTGCTGACCTGGGCGGGGCGAATAGAAATTTCGTCCACTACCACTACCGTAATCATTTCCACGTCGTGTTTGTTGTTGATTTAACGTAGGAATTGTCGTCGACGAACGAGTCATACCAGTATTACCACTGCCTGAATTTTGTTGACCTTTTGACGATGGTTGTTGTGATAGTTGTTGTTGGTTGGGTTGCGTGGTAGGACGAGCACCGGTAGAAGATGAGGATGGAACATTAGCTTGTTGTGTACGTGAAGGCATGACGTTTGATGTTGTTGAGGATGAGGCAGGGTTTAATTTTGTTACAACGCCGGCATAAGATGCTAAATGAGAAAAATAGAAAGTGTTAGCGCCTCATGTTCTGCAAATATAACATAATGACTATGTTATACACAAGACATCACTTGGATTAAACACCAAATCTATAGTGTCCAACAGCAGAGAATTTTTATCAGAAATCTTTTATTTGCCAACGTACTATGTGATTCTGGTATATTTGACGTTTTTTGTTGTTGTTGTTGCTGTTGACTAGTTGTTGCCGATACTGATGACGTGTCCGGAATATTTTGTTGTGTATTATCCTTATGCTGTTGTTCTTGAGCTCCTGATTGATGGTCCTGATTGAGAATATCTGCTGTTGGATGATGATCATCAACACCACTCGAGCCTTCTTCACCACTAGGTAAACCATTACTAAAAAACAGAAATATGATGTAAGTCTCCAACAAATCACAGACGAGAATAAAACCAATGAACCAATAAAAGATTCTACCAGAGTGACTGAGTGCAGAATTTTCTCTCTAATCGATTGATACTAATTATTTAAACTTCACTTACACAACATTTGAATCACCGGTATTATTGTTAACATTTTCACCTTGATGTTGTGTAGTTTCTCTTGGAGGTAAGGACTCGGTGGCAGCTGTTTGTGTGGTACCAGGATAAGAGGATGTCGACGATTGTTGTGTTCGAGGTGACAAAACTTGATGAGCTCCTGTTGATGACGACGTGGGTGGTTGTTGATCTTGCTGTGACGTTTGTTGTTGTGGTTGTGGTATAGCTGTCTGCATATGGGTAGAACCAGCTATTGATACTTTGTCCTAAATAGAGACAAAGAGCTGTGATGTTATAAAAGAAAAGTTAGTGAATGAAACTATTCAGGAATGAGCGTGACTCCACAAACTATGATTTTTCATCTTGATTTTCAGAGGATTCTCATCAGTAGTTTTTCTCTACCGTGGTTAGACTTTTTAAATAGATATTTGTTTGTCTATATACAGACATGTGCGCTGATAAAAAAGTTTTGGCGGCGGCGAATGAAATTTTTAACATAGGCGGCGGCGCGAGGCTATGAAAATTTCCTCCGTCTTCGGCGGCGGTGTGTAAAAATTGGTTATCGGTGGCGAATCTCATAATTTAAATAAAACAATGTTCTCTTTCATTTCTGGTACGTTCTTCGCGTACCTTCTGTATCTGTACGTTGCCGTATACGAAAAGATGGAAACGCGCTGCACTCTAGATGTCTAAGGTAAGAACGTATTTACAAAAATAGTCAAAATTTTCGGAAAAAAATTTCTCCGCCCTCGTCGACGATAAAAGCGAACCGGCGCGGCGGCGCACATCTGTCTATATATTTTCTGATTTCTAAATCTTAAACTATTTATCAAAATATTTGAGAATAGGACCCTGGCTTACGATAGCAGATGCAGCACCTACGCTTACAAGATGGAATAGCCAAATAGATAGACACAACACGCCTGTATGACATTTGATGACACACATGTTGCCTTAGAGAAGAAAAATGGAAAAATTCGACCATTTAGTTTCAAGTATACGATTAGTAATATGTGATCTTTGACGCTTGTGGTATCATTTAGGCTTTACATAAGAACAAACAAATTTTGGATGATAGTTGATAAAATCAAAAATCAGAGTTTTCTAAAATCGAGTTCTGTAGGCTATTTTCTACTTATTACAGTTGACTTCACATCAAAAACAAGGGAGAAATAACTTTTTTAATAAGAAGTATCAAATGTCACTTTCATAAAATATTTGAAAGTTACCGCATTCGATTTGTACTTTTCCTAGACTCTGAATTAATTCGTGTTTATCTTGTTTCGGCGGCGAAAAGCGAATATCATGAAGAATCTATTTATTTTTCCATATTTTTCGAATCTAACGAGGAAATACACCTTTTATTTCCAATTTTAAATAACATATTCGAAAAGAGCGTTGATAATTTAAAAAAATTTTTCAGCAGTATGAAATTTATATAAAGTTATTGTTTATTCAACCACTGTTTTATTCCGAAAATAGTGTTATGAAAGAAAAACTGAAACAAAAAATAACACAATAATAAATGAATCTTTTCAGAATGAAAATCAACGTGTACTAATAAAGCAAATAGTTTCGAACTTTTTTAAAATTGATAGAAATACTTTTTAATATCGACAGTAAACTAAAAGTTGAAAAATATAGTCTGTATGACAGTGTCAATACTCTTTCGAATTCTCAATGGAAGGTAAATGCTTTTCAATTATGAACGCGAGATCCATGACTAGCGCTAATATTACATCCACTCAGTCCAAGAAAATGTAAGAAAAACATTCTGGGAATCCTAATGGATACCACAGATACGTAAAAAAATTACGTCAAACTAAGTAGTCGAATATACTCCAAACAAGCACTCTACATATTTTCCACCAAGCAAAAGTCGAAAACATACTAGTCAAGAAAACACCGTTAATCTTAATCCTCTTCAAATTCAAAAGTTTCTAATGACAAATGTTTTTTCCATCAATTTTTCGTCTCCTTTTTACAATTGTCAAGGATTTTACGTTGGTTCTGTTAACAATGGCAATTAAACAAAAGCAAAATAGTTGATAACGCAGTCGCTCATTCTATCATCAAAACAACTGAAAAACAAATAACAGAAGTATTGACCACATCGTAAAAGTAATAAAGTTATTATAAAAAGAGCTGGCAATTTTTGACAATTTGATTTTGAAAAAGATGAGTTTCATCAGAAAAACTGTCTATTAAATTCTAACTTCACTGCTTTCCTTCAGAGAAGAACCGAAAAGATTTCAAAAAAAATTAAAAAATAAGGATAAAAATCCGAAAATTGGAACAAAATTCTTTGACGAAAAGTGAATATTCGTGCATAAAGTGCATATATTCGGAAATACAACAATTTGCGACGATATTGTAAATAATGAGTCCCACTGTGTTCAGAGAACTTTAGGATAACATTCTCAAAAAATAAACTGCAAATGTAGAATAATATACATACTGTTATAGAATTTTCACCAAAATTTGTTGATTCTCTGTCATCATCCGATTGATCATCAAAAACTTCGTCTTGATAACGAAATATGTCATTTTGAACATAATATTTTTTTGGCGAACGTGGAGCTAATACAAATGTTTGCATGAAACGACGCATCGGTTCACCACCATTCGATAATTCTCCAGTAACCTATAATGAATATGTTAAACCAAATTATAGACAATCAATTGTATAATCAGACATTTTATAATGTATAACTTTTTACCTGAACAACGACCCCATCTCCAATTGTTGGATGTGAATCAACTTGTCTGATTTTGGCATGACAATCTCTTAAATTTAAATCTGTTATTCTTCGTGATATATCTTGTGGACCCACAGCTGGTTGTTCAACATTTCCCGGTCGATCAACACCACCGTGAATAAATGTACTATCCGTAGAATAAAATCTAGATAAAAGAATAAAAATAGTTAAAACTTATTTTTTCTCTATTATCTACTATTTACCGGTGTAACAAATGAGGAGCTTGATGAAGTAACGTGTAATATTGATGAACGAAAGCGCGACCAACCTAAACAACGTAAATAATTAGATTAAGTATTTATTGCCGGACTTTATTTGATTCCACGATGAAACTTTGTTTCTAGGAAATAAGTAACCCTTCTAGTGATTGATAACAGGAGAACAAACTACAGCAGTTATTTTCCGTAGTTGCATATATCTGAAAATCATATCATTGGAACAAAAAAAAAATAAAGTTGGTTTTGAGTTGCTGAGAAGTGCTTTTTCATCTTCAGCGCACTCGATAACCCAGAAGGTTTTCTACTTTTTGGCGAGAAATACTTCTAAAAGTTTAGGAGAAATTTTGAAACAAAATGACGCAAATATTTCCATGCGAGAATAATATTAGTTTGAAAAATTTTGAAAGTATCCCTCATCAAAAACAGAAAATCTTCTGGGTTATCGAGTGTGCTGAAGATGAAAGAGCACTTTTTAGCAACGCAAAATAAACATTCTTTTTTTCCGGTAATATGCTAGAACATATGGCCGATATGATTACGACCAGAAATTACGATCAGAAGTTGTTTCAAGTAAAATAATCTTTATGATATTTTCGCAAATATCTATTTCTTACTCTAAGATTGTTACTATATTATCTAGTTTAGGCTCTACGTACTTCAAATGGGCTGGGACTATTCTGTACCATATCGGCTCTAACACGATCTAAAATCATGAAAAAATCATGCATTTAGAAGAAACATACACGATGAAATGAAAGCAGTTCCAGACTTAAGATTGATGGCAAAAAAAGGAATGAAAGAATGATCAGTATTTTCCTACAAAACTTAAACTCAAACCAAATAAATTTTTGAAGATTTATGCTGAAACCTATTTAATACAAAACTAATTACGAAAGTAAAATAAATATATAAACGCAACAACAATGTGCAATGAATTGGACTTGTTACGAAGCGGCACATTGTTTACAACTATGGTAATTTCACAGTATATAGCAAATTTTAAGCTACATATGCATCGAATGGACTATGTTCATTCATAAAGGAAACCATTGTAACTTTTTATTGGCTTAGCTTGGCCAAATGAAGATTTCTCTATATCTGTAATATTTACATTTATTTGTTTGTTTAGTATTTATTTCAGTCAAAACTATTGTCTATTCAGGATTCACTAGAGTGAGTGACACTTCAGTTAGAGTGAGTGATACTTCAGTTATTTTAGTGGCTACTCATCCATTTAAACAACTGATACAGAACTAGAATGAAATATCAGCCACTTTAGTGGAGTTACATACTGACAGTGAGAACTGTATTGTTGAAAAGAGATTTGAGAGCATGGAAAATATTAAAAAAAAAAAAACAATATTTTTTCAAGATAGTATCCTCATTTTTCCATGCATTGCGTTCAATCAACATAGATTTTTATTCATCAATTACAGGTAAATACACATTTTTAGCTTGTGCATTGTCCAAGTTTTCGCAGATAGTAGGACGTGAAGTTTAACTAAGTTTCTATTTATTCTATAAACAATGTCTTTTTCTTGTTTCCACTATTTAACTTTAAAATATGACTCAGTTTATTTTCAAACAAATAAATTATTTGTTTTGAACCGGACGGATTTTTCCCATCCGGTACCGTCCGGTCGAAATCCGGCCGGTTCATTTTTGACGTCAAACTGGCAACAATCCGGTAAGATCATAAATTCATACAATAGCTTGTTTGTTAAGGTATCAACGAGAAACGATTCTGTGAAATTCACAGAATATAATAGAAAAATATATATTTGTACATGTAAATCTGAACCATAGACAAACAAAAAGAAAAGATAAGTATATGGATTGATTTTTAATGCAAAGTAACTATTTTTTCGAACCAGTAGTAGACGCAGGCCACATGTTGTTGATATATGCTTCTTTGAGAACGACCAGAGCTTCAATTGTATCAGGATCGAGTAAACTACGTTGTTCTGTTACGATCTAAGCTGTAAATCAGTGATTACACGCAGCCCACCCATCGAATATTTCTTGCGCAGTATTAATTTGATCCAATCTCAAGAATATTCAGTATTAATTTGACCGATTAACGAAATATCATGGTTCCGAAGCTGATGGTTACTTTTTTCATTTTTGATCAAAATAAGTTCTTTCGATTGTAATTTTCGCTGAATTTGGCCATCTTGAAGATTGTCCGCATTAATCATTGACATTAATAATATAACCTTGTAACGTAAACGTCAAATACGAAATAAAGTCACAAAAATAGTGCTTCTTGATAATTAAAAGAAAAGAAAAATTGAATGTGTATTTCCTTTTCTTTTCCTTCTATCTGATTAATCTTTGTCTTATTGTTATTACAATCCAATTACGATCAAAAGCGGTTACTACTAAATATAATCAAAGGCTTTGATTCAAAGCTGTGTATGTACATGAATTTGTACGAATATTTTCGTCGTATGTTCTCTGATTCATATAGAATTTCTAACAATCGCTGACATAATATTTCAACGCAAAAAAAGCGAATAAAAGTTGTTTTCGTCGGAGAAAACTTTGAAATACAAGTATCAATTTCAATATCAAGAACTGGCAAAAATCCGGTTTCGTCCGGTCCGGAGCCGGATTGCCGGACCGATTCCAACTCTGCAAATAATAACGAAGCATTGCTACTACTTAAGAATTTTACCGTAAAAAGGTGAAGTCAATAATTGATGGACATATATTACAGAAAGTTTTAATTCATTTTAAATATCACCGACAGTCATATCCACTACTCATAATGTTGTAATTATCTGACATAAGACTTCCAAATGCATGTTGCGAAATAAATAAAAGTATCGTCCTTAAGAAAAGATATTTTGTTACATTCAACATTACTCTAGAGGCGATGTTTACCAGATAAATATGTGAAATGGTTAGAACAAATTATAATTACTGTCTTGCTACGCATATTGAGGTAAGAGTTGCTGTTAAGTTAGGGATTCATGATTGTTGTATTAGTGATTTAGAGAATAAAAATAGTCGTGTTAATAAAATATTTCATAACAGAAGAAGAGTAACAAAATGCTAATTTATTTTAAAAAAAATATAAAATTTGCTGTACGCGTATCATGACTTTTTTCTTTAAAAAAGAAGAGAAAAACACATCATATTAATAAGTGATAAAAGAAAATAGTCGAAGTTTAAAAAAAATATTTCATAGCACAATATTTTTTTACAAGAAAGAAAGACGATTTAAACCTTTTTTCACAGGGAATTGGAATAAAACAGACATAAAACTTAAGCAATTATTGCATAGGTCGCCGCTGTTGCCACGCCACAATTGTTGTTTTTTCTCGACATAAGAACGTAACCCTAAACAAAGACGAAAGACATATACAAAATAAATTATTAAGAAATCTATTTGATTAGAATGAATTGTATCGTCTAAAAAAACGAAAATGATTTGCAGACAGCTACAGCGGAAATTTAATGACAATGTTTTTTTAAAGGTCGGCTTTCTAGAACGTTGCTATCATTATTTGTATGCAATTTTCATTTTTGTTCAAAAAGAACTTGTTGAAAGACATTTTTTTATATTTTTTACTAAAAATTTAGATTAATAAACAGAAACTCACATCATTGCCCCAGTATGTACTCCATGAGTTTTTAACAAGCCAGTAATCTTCGCCATTCAATGTTCCATAACCAACGGCTAATACGGCATGATCTAATGCTTCTGGTGTACTACCTGTAAAATAAACATAGATCATAAAAATGAGAAAAAACGAACATATTCATTACACACATACCACAATCTGGTTCATAAAATACACCCGATGAATAAAATAGAAACGATTTGTGAGCCGCATCAATACCTAAAATAAGAATATAGCTATATCTAGTTATGAACAGAATTGCGTATTAGCATAGGTTTTTTCATTTACCAACTGAGACAGGTCCTTTGTTTGCAATTGCTATTAGTAGAGCATCTTCGTCACCTTGAGTTATGTTCACATAACCCAAGACTTGTAAACCTTTTGTTGCATTATCATGATGACAGAAACCATCCTAAGAAAGAATAATCAGTTAGCTATTTGTAGTTGTACATATATCTTCTATTTTCATACTTCCTGTAAATAGGGTCCATATGAATCTTCTAATGCAATTCCTTTATGTTTCATAATATATTGATAAGCTCTAAATTCTTCACCACCGTCACAACCGTTATTGCCAAATCCCCATGAACAATCGACAAGATCTTGTTCCGATAAATCAATTATCATACCATTCTAAAGATACACAATTATTCATTAGTACAACAAGAATTTCTTTCAAACATTATTATTTTTGTTGTAGTTACTTTAATAAAATAAGAACCTTCTAACGTTCCCGTTGTACCAAAACTCCAACAAGAACCACAAATTCCTTGATCTTTCACTGGTGTTACTGCACCCATAATGCGCCAATCAATAGATTGTGGAATATCTTTAACATTCATTAAGTTCTTTTCAAATGGTAATCCACCATTGTAACCTTCTGAATGACGTCTTCCTCTTAATACTTTTAATTCATCATCTGTACGATCGGCCAAATGATTTATACGCATTTTGTACGTTAAACCAGCACGATTTTTAGCATTGACATATCTAAAATAAAAATAAATGTTGTTTTAATTATACTTAAAATGAAGTATTCATAGTTTAATATTGGCTACCTCATATTGTGTCTATATGTATTTAATCGTTGACGATGTTCTTTTGTATCTCTATACTTTTTATTATGATGTTTTTTAAACTTATTAAAGGATTGTACAACATGGTCATCTTGCGAGTCATGATGATTTATATATTCTGACATGGGATTAAATAATACACGATGTTCATCACCTGGACCAGGAAATCCTCCACATTGCATACCTAATCGAGCATATAAGTAAAATGTTTAATAATAAAAGTAATATATAATTTGTACTTACTATCGGTAATTAGAAATATTTTTTCATCAATTTTGTTTTCATCATAATTAAAATAGTCAATGTAATATTTATCAAAATGTGATCCGATCAATGTATCATATCCAAACATTTCATAATGAACAGGGTGATTATTTTCAGCATTTAAATAATACGTATAAGTACTACGTTTATCACCTGTTTGATCTATCAATTGATACATTTTACACTGAACACCACGCCATTCAGCTAAACCTATATACTGAAAATAGATGGCATTTTATAAAATTTCTGCTAACTCTATGATTAAATATATACTTCAAATGTGTCAACATCTGGCAATCCCTGTTGTATATCAACTACATCTTCTTCAGTACCATTTGCTTGAAAACAACTTATTTTATTCAACACTTCCTCATCTAAATAGAAGAGACAGAAAAAATATTAAGAAAGAACAAAATTATTTTTATTATAAAATACCTACCAGACATGGGTACAATTTTATAATTAATTCCAAAATCTCCATCACCTTGACCTTTTTTTTGTATTGTTGTGGCAGCACCTTAAACAAGAAATGAACAAAAATCTAAGAAAAAAATATACGTTATAAATATTTAGATAATCTTTAACATCAGTGAGAATTTGTACGTAGCAAAAGCCGTTTATAATGAAGTGTAAAATACATATGAGTGATTCTGGTGATTTTTGTACCGTTCGACTTAAGCTAATGGAAATGCTTGATTCTCCGTTAATACTAAATCGAGCTTTTAGAAGCTTATGTCATTTTATTTCGGACACTTCACTCTATATATATACTGCTAAGATCTCTTTTCTGCCTTATTTCCTTAGTATACAGTAAGCAAAATACCTTGTTTTGGGGTTCTTTTTTCCTTCTTTACTTAGTGGTTCCCGCACGTTCTTTTTTCTTAATTAACATTTTTCGTCTCTTAAGGGGCAGCCGAACAAAATTATTTTTGCTTTTCGTGCAGTATTTTATCTGCTCTGTCAATCTGCGGTCTTAGTTTTGCCTAATCTCTTTTAGTTTTTGTGAAAACTTCGATGAAATTTCTGGTCCTCGAAAAGTTCAAAAATCGTGTCCCACCCCCTTTTGAGTCTACTGTGCAGCCAATAAGCACTTTAAGTCAAATATTTTTCCATGAAAAGATTTACCAAAGTAGGCACTATAGATTGTTGAAAACCGCAAGTTGCTAGCTTTTTTCGTTTTTGAGTAATTGACATTTTACTGACGTCCAGTGGCTTGTGACATACAATTTGTCCCACCCCCTTTTGACTCTCCCTGACCGAACTACATGGAATTGAGGACTCGTTTTTTTACCATATATGTCAAATAGGTAGCACAAGTTATGCTGTAAATAGCGAGGCTTCAGTTTATTTCTAAAGGAAGAAATTTGAAAAATACATCAAAATGTCCCACCCCCAAACATATCTCTAGAATTGTTTTGGCTAGTACATAAAGCCTCAGATTATACGATTATACGTATATTGACACCCTGAATTGAATGGCCGACTCAGTTTTCTGAAAATCGGCTCAGCAAAGGATTTCCGGAAAACCTGGATTTCTAGAAGCCCAAGCTTAGAAATTGTCAAAAAACACTTTTTAAGGATGCTAGTTGATAAAGCATATGTGAAAACCCATGTTTCAAGACATTTTTAAGCTAAATTATAATTCTTCACCCAAATTATGTCAGAATAACAAGGTGTACTTACTCTATTTTACCTGCTCAATACCATGCAGTTCAATATAAGCTTTACAAATCAACAGAAAACACCTTGGTTTTTGAAAAGGTTTTCTAGAAATTCTCCGAAGTACAAGAATGTTTTTTACTATCCTTGAGTAGAAAAACATATAGAGCAGGTAAAACAGAGTACATCTTGTTATTCTGACATAATTTGGGTGGATCTTGACTGGGTTATGAATTCTATAATTTTGCTCAAAATAGGTAAAAATGGGTTATTTCACCTAATATAGGTTTTCACAAGGTTTTTGAAAGTTAATTGAAAAACAAATGTCGTCACGAGATTCAGTGTGATCGATCACCTATGTTTCCGTTCGTTTTCAGAATTACCACACCTAAGGAGATATCGATCCTGGGGCTCTCAGGAAATCCGATGCCACATCCGAAGCAAGAAAAAATAAGAGTTCGCTTAGTTCTCATTTTCGAGAGGACACATTGGACTATCTGCCTATGAAAAAAACTGATAGATTAGTATCTCAGTTTCCGGAGATCCGGACTTGCTTTCAAAAGATCCCCTAGAATACCGGTCTTCTGAATGCTTTCGGAAAACTGTTTTGCTTATAAAAACGTAGGCTAAACTGTTCTCTTCTCATCGCTGAAAACCGCTGGTCTCTAGCTTTTGTCGTCTTTGAGTTAATGATCATACGCTAATTAGTGTGTCTGGTGTACAAAGAGTTAATGACTTTCTATAAATCTTTCGGTCTCTAAATCCAAAAAAGGAAAAAACTGGTAGTTTGCAAAACTAATTGGTCTTACACTATGAAGTATCCTCTATCCGCTAATGACACCATTAAGTACCGGTTCCTGTTTTTTGGGATCATTTTTTGAAAAAGAATGGTACAATAAACACCAGAGTTACTCATATATTCTGACAGTTCAAATAAAACCAGCACATAATTTAAAAACGATCGTATACCCAACCAGTTTTGAGATGGGTGCAGTTTCAAGCAGTAGCAACACATCGGACTTTTTATCGAGCCTTTGAAAATTTTGATAGGTCGAAGAAGAAACGAGACTTGATTATTTTAAAAAAATACAAAAAACCTTCGAGGGCTCGAAATTCCGGTGAGCTCTGAACCTATTGAATTGCATGTGCGATAGTGCCTATTATTGGGTCCTCAGATATGGGAGTGATTGTGACGGCTCGAAACGTTACTAATGGCTCCGAATCTGCCTTTCGATGAGTATCCATCGACAAGGATCTGAAAATTTTGATGGGTTGCGATCGCTCGAAATTAAATTTCAATCCGTCGAACAGCGTTGCTCCGAGATTTCTGACCATTCGCCGCGTCGATCAAATAAATTTTTCTGACTGCTTGGTGAGAGAATCGTTTTATTTCTCAGCACATAGAAGATGTAAACGAGACACGTACATGTTATCTTTAAGTTGATGATCGACTTTGACAGGGCAGTGATAATTAGGATGTGCTTACCTTTATAATAATCAATTCTTGAATATCCTATGGTACTATCAATCCAAGCCTCAAACGGTTCATTTATTTCAGCGTATGGTAACTGAATAATTCCTTGTACATGATATGTTTTTGGTAATTCACGCAATTGAATCAATGGACTGGAACTAGATGAAGTAAAATCTGAAAATAAAAGTGAAAAACTTCGGTATCAACATGAAAAACTAAAGGCATAAGCTTACATAAAGTAATGAAAATTAGCGATAGTCCTAAAGTTTTCATAATGATATGTCAAATATTTGAATCTAAAATAAAATAGACAAAATTTTGTATCGAAAAAACGATCCGTATAGAACAAATATCAAGCAACAAGCCTACTTGTGATGGAATTTAATTGTTGAAATTAACATTTTGTATGAATAAAATAAATGAATGGGTCTTTATAACAAACAAAATAAAAACGAGAAAGAAAGAAATATCACAAAAATGTTTGCTATTCTGAAAATGACAAGGAGTAGTTCAATATAATCCAAAAACCAACTACACATAGAAGACATCGAGATACAAAGAAACTTGTTTGTTTCTATCTGATCAAGTATATCATTCTCACAACTATGTGAAAAAAAACGCGTGCTACTGATATTTGTGTTTACTCGTCGGTGTTGTTGTTTGTTTTCTGCTCTTATTCTTGTTTGTGACTACAACTGACGTAACAATAATAACAATTAAAGTGATAACAATAATGATTATTAGAATCCACATTTTTACATTTTTCCACCAAAATTTTCGTTCTATTTGCTTAGCATGAATTTTAAATTGTGACGCATGTTCATCGAGTTCTTCTGCTCGACCATGTAACTGTGTAAGTGCGCTATCACGATCTATCACTTTTTCTAAATTATCTTTGATAATTACTGTCACTTCTTGAACATCGTTTTGTAAACGATCTATTGCCGTTGGACTTTTATAGTGGACTGATGCCATTAGACTAGAGAAATGATAAACTTACATTGTATTATAGTCAAAAAGCTTAAAATCTCTTCAATATAAGGGAATCACGTGTAAAATCGAAGATTCCAGTAATCAGGTAACACTCATTAGTACATGACTACCAAGAGTTTTAGAATGAACAAATAAAATACAATACCTTTTGTAGAAAAATTAAATTAAAGGCTAAAATATCATTTTAAACAAAAATTAACGAGTTATAAAATGAAAATAACATCCAGCTTGTTCAAATAAAGTAAGAAAAAGTAGATACCGATTTGCTCTTTTCATAATAGTCTACTAGAAGAATATGTCAAAAAAGATAGCTGTTTCGTTTCTGATCATCTATTTATATTTACATTTCATATAGCTTAGAGATAAGACAATGGTGGCAAAAGTATTACGTCATCATCATTGTAATAGCAGAATAAAAAATTTGCTTGGTCAAGGTGATCATCGTGCGACATTCTTCTATTGACTTGAAGTCATCCTTTGAGTTTTACTCAACGTAACAAAAATGTTATGTGAGTTATTCCATCGACTTGTTTTTAAATGTACAACAATATCGAAAAATTATGTGCTCAAACTAAATCAGTTGAGTTGGTTGATACGAGATTTATACTTTATCTACCAAATTGAAAATTTTGATTATAATAAATCGGCAATAAGCAATCTTTATTCTCATTAACATGAAAAAAGGTAAAATATCAGGAAAATAAAATTAGTGTCTCTCAACAAACGATTTTTACCTATTCAATTGAGATGGATGTTAGAAAGTAAAAAAAAAGAACATAATTACCAATTAATATTACCTCGGCTTGGCCAAGTAACTTCGCTACCACGATGTCCTTTCGTAACGTTTTTTCTACATTTCGTTTCTTTCATAGTTTTCGAACAAAAGTAGATCCAGAGCTGTGCAACATCTTAAAGTGGAGAAAAGTTTTTTGAACATTTTGAGATGTTTCCACACTGCACATCATTTTTCGTTCAAACGTTGAGATGAAAATACAGTAAGGAAACATCTCTAAGTGTTCAACAAACTTTTTTCTCCACTTTAAGACATTGCACAGCTCTGGATCTGCGTTTGTTCGAAAACTATGAAAGAAACGAAATGTAGAAAAAACGTTACGGAAGGACATTGTGGTAGCAGAGTTACTTGGCCAAGCCGATCTGCGTTTCTCGAATTAATAAAATTTTTAAAAGAAAATTGTATTCTTTTGTAATAAAGCACAACATTACATTGGTTGAATATACAAACAAACAAGAAGATGTAGAAGATATAAAAGATTTATTTGTTTCTCATAGAAAAACAGCAACAAATGATATCATACTGATATACAAGCAAGAGAGAAAGAAAGAGAGAAGAAATATAATTTTATCTTCGTCTTGGTTCATGTCGTTTTGTACTCGTGTCTTTTTTCTTCTTTCGTCGTTCTGGTGATGGTGATGGTGATGAATTTGAGCTTGAACTTGAGCTTGATGATGACACTGATTTTCGTCGTCGTTTCGTCTTTTGTCGATCATCGTGTCGGGATACTTTCTTTGTTGTTCGTGATGATTGTTTTTCACTTTTTTTCTTTCGTTGAGGTGATAGTGAACGTTTTGGTTTTGGTGAATTTTCTTGTTCACTGCGAGCAGTAGCAGCCATTTTCATTTGCTGTAATTTTCGATGAAATTCAAGTACATCACCATCATCATCGTCATCTTCCACATGTGATATTTGTTGCTGTTGTTGATCTTGGACGATATTTGTATTTGTACGAAGAAAATCACGCAGTTCATCACTAGAAAAAAAAAAAAAAAACTCACTTAGTAAATATCTGCATTAAATATATAGTTTTAAAATGGTGAACAAAGTTTACAGTTTTACTTACGTTAGTCCACCGAGGCCAATAGAAGTAAAAAAATTAATAGAAAATCTTGTATTTTTGGTATTATCACGTGGAAATATGCCTTCAAAATATTCTGTCAACGTTCTAAACAAGCAACAAATAACAAAATTATATATATAAATATAAATGTATATATAAGTCAATATAAAAAAGTACATACGGATCTTTTAAGCGATTATTCAATTTTGTTAAACCCAAAAATTCAACTAATTCTAAAAATAAATTTTTTATATATACACGACTTGATGAAGTGGTATCTTCTTCGGTTAAACGAATACAACGTAACACCTAGAAAATAAAAGTTACAATTATAGTTGCTAAGACAGACAAATATTTTAGAATGTAGAAATATAATGAAACATTAATAGTTACATACCCCCCATGAAATGGCATCTGTGTATAGTAAATGTGCAAAAAATTTAGCAACATTTCGTAGTTTAACATTTTCTAAACGATGAACAATATCGTATTGATCTTCAAATACTTTTTCAAAACATTCAATATATTCTTTTTTTAATAAACAAAAACGCTTAACAAATAGAAATAGAAATAGATTAATGTTCGAAAATAGAAAGAGAAAAGTATCTCAGTACATACTTGCCCTAATAAACCAAAAAATCGTTCATAAGTGCGTTGTTGAGCACAACTATCCAAAATCATTTGACATAATTCCATCTGAAGATTATGATGAATGCAGTTATTAAACACATGTGACTAGATGTCATCTTCACACAATGGGTAACCATCAGGACATTTCGGAAATAATCGAAGATGCACATTTTTCAGACCTTTTGGATGATCAATACACCTCGACATACGGACTATTAAATGTCAAAAGAATTTTTTTTCTAGGTACTATGAATCCTGGGATTACATTTATTTAAAATTGAGACTAAAAACACAGGGGTGTGAGGTAAAAAAGTTGTTTAAATGAAATCTAACAGTGATGAAAATTGAATTCATACAGATTATGAACCCTCGCCTATTAACCAGTGAAAAACGTTTCTGCTTTGGGCTTAAACTCACGGAGAGAAAAAACAATTTTCCGAGCTAACAGTGTTTCTCATATAGCAAAATAACTCACTGAAATTTTATATAAATTTTAATAATTGATTTTTTTTAAAACGTTTTTTTGTTTTCGTTTATAAAGTTGAAATAGCTCGAAAACGATAATGGCCAATAAAAAAAAGGGCTATTCGCAAAAACATGCTAATGTCCGCATCACAAGTCAAAGTTGCGCACTGTAGCCCTACCTCTTGTCCTGGTCTTAAATTCATTTTTAACAATTTATGTGCACATTCTTCAGCTCCAACACTTGACTGAATAGTTAAATAGATTGTTCGTCGTAGTGTTACTAAATTTGTTTCGGTTTGATCAATTATTGTCTGCTGTTTTTCTTCTGGAAAATTAAAAACATAGTTTAACAAGTACACTAGACATTTTCGAATACCCTTACTCTCTGCTTCATCTTCTTCGCTTTCTTCTTCTTCATTCTTTTCATTTCCATTTTCATCTTCACTCGATTCATCATCATCATCAGCTAGACAAAAAAATAACAAATTTAAGCTCTGAAGTTTAAAAATAACTAATTTTCATCACTTACCGTCTGATTCATCTAAAATTTGTTTTCGTATTTCTTTATATTTGTTTTCATTTACTTCGTATTCTGGATCATAGTTGAAAACATCTAAACAAAGATAATGAAACAGCGTTTGAATAAATTTCATTTTTATTAAAAATATTATTTTATATTCACATTTATCGATCAAAATCACATAGAATAATGTGTTATGTTTCAGGTTTGAAGAAAAAAATAGTTCGTGGAATTTTCTGGAAAGCTATATAGGCATTTTACAGTACATGTGTGAGAGATGAATAAAAATATGTCGTATATTATTCGTGTCAAATTTTGAAAAATTATTTTTAATATTTTATATATTAGACGGCTTGTCCACGTAACTCGCTGATCAAGTTTTTGAAAAAATTATTTTAGAGTAGAACTGAGAGGAATATATCACTAGATGCAGTTTTTGGCGCTGATTACGAATCTCACATTAGTTTTTTTAAAAAGTTAAATTTTTTCATCAAAAATCCAGTTTTACATTTTTTGAAAACTGTATTTTCAATTTCCTCACCTAGACCCTTTTCCTAATAAAAATAGAAGGCCATACTAATCGATAGAGAATTCGATTCTCTACAAGATGGTATGTTTCTTTTGAAGTTTGGGCTCAAAACAAGCTTTTTAATAAAGTTTTAAGTTTTAAGATTCTCACACAATTCTAAGAAAGTGAAAACATTTTTTCACCTTTATTTTCACATTAGTCTATATTAGATGCTTAAAACTAAGTCTGATGTGAAAACGAAATTCTTTGAGCAATGTTTAGTACTTCAAACTTTGGTGGGAAAAACGAGTGTCACAGCGTCACGACGATAAAACACAAGTATTGAGGGATCGAAAGTTCTTTGGAAGATTCGTTTTTAGCAATCAGTAGCTCGTTTACGCCTCTACAAACTTTGCTCGAGGCACTTTTTATTAGTTCTTCTAAACTCACAGCAAATTAGCTTTTAATGAGAAGCACTTCGAATTTAGGGCCTTTTTTGTCACAGCGTCACGCGCCGAAAAACGGTTCTAAAAATTCAAGTCTTTAACCACATACCTTCATTTTTATACCAATATTAGAATATGGCGAGCTGCGTCGAATGGCGCAAGAACGAAGTTTCTAGCTCTTACACTTAGAAAAGCTCAAATTACTGTGTCAAAAATGTTACAACGTCACGCTTGGACAAGCCGTAGATTAGTACTACCATAAAATAGAAAGCTTACGTGATGTTTAAAACAACTTCTGGTAAGATCCAGAATATTAAAATAAATTCATTTGCTTTCTAATCAGAGATTCGGAATGGGGTCTGAAGTGCGAGCAGCGCTCGGGGAAGAAAAGGATAAATTTTGCGAAATTTTTGAAATTTTCAATTCATACTTCCTCTGAAGCGAAAAAAGTACTTTAGGAGAATTCTTGAAAGAAGTCATACTGTCTTCGAAAGGGAAGCTGGAATGTCATCGTTTCAGTTGATATCGAGGTAATTTAGGCTCGCTACGGGAAGCGTCGAAACGTTAAACAGAGGTTCTAAACCTCTGTTTCTAACCCTGTCAGATAGTGGAAGACATCAGATTACAAGAGTTCTGAAATTTTCATTACTAACTGTCTTCTCTTTGTGTAGTCTGAGGTATTTAACAATGGAACATAAGAGGAAGTTTTTATAATAAAAGTAGTGACGAACTAACAGATTTAAATGTAAGACGTTCAGGTTAAAAATGTATTTTTTATTTTCTCTATCATCGAGCTATGTGTCCTTTCGTCCAATGGCCATTTTTTATATTTTCTCATAAACTGCATTGTGTTTTGTTGTGGAAATATTATCTAATATAGGATACACTCGAAATAATAAGACATTCTAAATACTTGAAAAACTCAACAAATATGTATAACTGTTAGTTTATTGCGCAATTATATCTGATAAGATCTTTTCATTATAATGTATCGCTACTGCACCGTTTTGTTTGCTCAAATTTTAGCTCATAGTTGTATGTAAAAAAGTATGAAGATATCTTACAAGAAAATCTACTAGATACCGCATATAAAAACACATCTAGCAGAAGCTCATTACATCTTTTCAAGAATTAAAAAATTGCTTCTATCATTTCTAAATAATCATTGAAAAACATCTCAATCTATTTCTTCTTTGAACTCATTCTAACATAGACTTTTCTTCCAATATGACTAGTAAAAACTCATTTCTATTTACATTATTAATAGTCATCATAATAATAATACGATACAAAAATCACACTGTCTAGTACGGTAATAAGAAAAGAATTATATTAAGATTGATACAAACAAATTTGTCTATCACACCATCGAAGACAAACACATAGGCGTATGTTTCGAAGATGATGTTCTAAATATTTAGGAAATAGACTTATCTTTGCTATACAACTTAAGATCATAGATTTCGTTTAGAATTATAACAACAACAACAAAAATGCGGTAATGATCATATTAAAAATTATTCTTAGATTTCTATTTATGCTTTGTGTATGATTTATTGATCTTTAACAGTCATTTTATAATATATCAAATTATTTTTGTATAAGTGTTTTTTTTAAAAAACTTTAATATTGAGATAATTAAACAGATAATTTTAAACATTTTTCTGCGAGCTTTCGAAGCTTCTCGCGCTTCATCTTCAGCCATAATAATGTGTTAAGTTTTCTGATTAAAACAAACAAGATGAAAAAGAAACATTTAGACATGAATTCTAATTTTGTATTTTAATACAAATATAGGATGACATTGTTATTTTATCTCATAAATAATAAACAAAAAGTACAGTACTTACCCAACATTGGTTCAGGATCACATTGATCATCTAATGTTAACATATGTGTTAGTTGATCTTGTTCATCAACTAAATCGAGACCATCCAAAATAATTGCATGTTCTTTAAATTGATCTTTTCTAATGGCAAATAAAACTTCAATCATATATTGTGTACGTCTATCTAGTGTTGATTCATGTAATAAATTTCTTAATGTTGAAAATACACTATCGAGTCCACGTGGAGATATCTGACTTAATTTTTTACCACATTCTTTAATAAAACCAATAGCTAATTCACATGAATCATCCGATGGATTTTCTAATAATAATATTAATATTTGTAAAGCAACGATTTCATGGAGCTAAAAACAATAAAACAAATTGATAGGATTAATCAAAAGGTATCAATAGAATCCTCTTCAAGATTGAAAAAAATGACAGTCTCCCACAAACGTTTTAATTGCATAGAAACTATCTATGTCTGAGAAATAATGAATCTACCTTAAATAACTAAAGATCTATCGTCTAAAGTTTTTCTCTGTGTTTCTGTTCCATAAGCTTCTCATTCGATTCTATTTCTTCACACATTTCTTTGAAAAAATGTTTTATTCTTTACTTTTTTTTAATAAAAAAGTTTCGTTTGTACATACCACATTTTGATTTACTAAATGTGCAATAAATCGAATTGATGCTAAACAATTCGTTTTATCATTTCGTTGATATGTTCGACGAAATGTATTTATTAAACGTTTAACAAGTAATTCACCGATTTGAGGAAATTTTGTATTTATAATGGCAACAAGTGCTGCATAAACATGTGTATAAAATGGTGAGGCAATTTGTGCTTGAATAATACCACGTGCCAACAATCCTCGTCCACGAACAATATTATCTTTAAATAATTCTCTAACAATCAAAACTAAATTCGAAATGTTTATTTTATTCACACGACCGTTAATTGTTTTTTTCAATGCTTCCCATGCTAAACGTTGATAGTCTTGACTTGATTTATCAGTAATGGACGCCTAGAAAATAGAAAGAAGTTTTTCAATGATTTCCTCTCAACAATGGGCAATACACAGAATAATTTTAAAAAAGAAAGTCGGCGACTAAAACTTCTATTCGTGTTCTAATTGACTAGTTTGCTTACTTGCTCATACCTGTAATAAACGTAATTTTGCTGGTGGCATATAAAGACCACCTGTTCGACCAACAGTTGTCGTTGGTTTTGGAATAGTATGTGGTGTTGGTCCTGGAATTTCACCATCTTCATCACTGCTCTCATCATTTCGACGAGAAATAGGAATCGGTGAACGAGGACGTTGTCGATAATAATCAGGACTTTGTCTTCGTTTATTTGAAGGTGGAGATGACGTAGGACTTGGAGACGAACGACGACGAGAAACTTTTACTACCGAAGATTTTAATGTTAATGTTGACATGATGAACCAATCTGAAAGGAGAAAATATATAAGCTGTTGATTACTAAAATCAGCTTTCAAAGTTTTACATTAGCATCAGTGAATCAATTTTTTCTAAGGCCATATCCACACTATACTTTTTCACATTCAGTTTTGAAAGAAGATAACGTTAAATAGGACTGGTTACTTAAGTTAGTAGTGTGAATATTCTTCTTAACTCAAACTTATTTTCCCAATTGTAGATAACAGCTGTGAAGATGATTCTTTGCTCATCTTATATGTATCAGGTTAATTGTTATTCTAAACTTCGGAGTACGTTAGGCTAATACTGCTCTCTAAGAATATTTCGAAACTGAGCGCTCGATTAAAGTAATCCAATAACAAAGTAGGATTGATGAATCAACTTTTGTCACACTTAAGCGATATAAAAAATGTCATTCAAGTATGACTTAACTTTTGCCTGATATACAGCCTTGAGGCGAACTTAAGTTGTATAGTGTGAACATAACCTAATAAGCTTCCTAACTGTACTCACGACGGTCACACTAATCAGATGAAGTCATTAAAACTCAGTTTCTCTTAGAAACGATTCTGAGTATTTCTTATAAATGGATAGCCTAGAGTATCCCCTTTTGGAATCGGTACTGCGTTATACCATACGATTGTTTTTTTACGCTATTTTTTTCGAGTCCTGCTCAGATATTAGTCTGTATCTATTTACATATGTTTTATTGATTTATTTCGGATGGATAGATTTGTAGAGCAAACCCATCTCTCGGAAAATAATCCCGTGCTTTTCATTTGGTTTCTTCTATGCTACACTAGTCGAAAATAAAATATTCAAGAAATGTGATACAGTAGTCATCAAAAGAAGAAAATTTGGACTACATTCTCCCATTGGTGAACATCAAACAAAAGAAAAAGAGTAACAAAAGGTATCGCAACTATATGTTATCGCTCACAGAACCGATCGACAGACTAGACCACTGGGAGGAAATGAGAACAATTTTAGAATTTCTGCTAATATAAAATATGGACCGCCGAAGCATTCGCTATTAAATCGTTGTTTTTGGAAATCTTACCTTTGTAAAACTCTTTCGCTCGTATTTTCAGAGAATGGAAGTACAATCTACAAAAACAAATCTTTGACGGAGTATTATCTGAATCGAGACCGTTGAAAAAATGTCCGTTTGCAGTAGTCTATTTTTATTCAATTTAAGAACGTTTTCGATTCTTCTTCAGTTAAATGAATAAAAAATGTATGAGCGGAATACGGTAAAACTAGACATGGGCGGGACCGTCCCGGTTCCGGTCCCGACGGGACTGGGACCGGAACCGGGACAAAAGACATTATTTTACCGGGACTGGGACCGGGACGGAACTACAAACTATTTTTCCGGCACCGGAACCGGGACCAAAAACGTTATTTTACCGG